TTCAATTTAAATGTTTATCAAATAACAATCCAAGAAAACGTACTGAATCTACTTTGTCTATTTCAATATTTTTATAATTAATTTTTACAGGTATAGGACTTGTGTTATATGATCTGAACTGGATTAGTTAAGTTTTATTTATATTTAATTTTAAATTATTTGCATCTTACCATTTAGTGATATCTGATAATGCTGTGGTTATTTGACGTTCAAAAGAGTCGATATTGTTATTGTCACATTTAATGATTATTGTTGTATCATCTGCAAACATTATGCACTTGTTACTTGTGCTATGTGGCAAATCATTTATGTACACCAGAAACAGCAGTGGTCCAAGAATACTTGTTTGAGGAACGCCGGTATTTTTAATTTTAAAATCAGATCTATATGTTTGTTTTATATTAACTTTATATTTTTGTACAAATTTGCTTACTACTACTAAATTTGTGAGAACATTATCTGGAGTCATATTTAAACCGGTTAATGAATAAAACGATATTTATAGTGAACCGGTTTAAAACCGGTCCAAAGGAGTGTAATCTTTTATGTAAAAGTACCGCTTGTCCTTACGTTTTAAAAAATATACCTGTTTCCAAGCCCTGGCCTCAGCACCGGGCCGGTAGTGAATTTTGGAATATTAATACCTTTATGAAGGCATATTCCACAACAGACGTATTATACACAAATTTGGCAGTTTAACAAGCTTACTTGTCTTTTAGAGATAAGGACAACGCATTAATCATAACATCACGTAAATCTTATAAATCGTAAACATTGTATTTAATAAAGACTATAACAGCAAAGAGAAAAGCGAGACAATAATGTAAATTGAGAACTTAAATACATTGGTTTAAAGAAGTCATGTAGACAGACATATTATTAAAACCAAGTGTAGCACTCCCACATTTAATGATACGTTAATACTAGTAGTCCAGTAGTTTTATTTGGTCTTTAAAGACAAGTCAATTTGCAATAATACGTAAATTTGTTGTGAAATTCACAAAGTTGGATTATTTGATTTCCAAAATAATTTATATGGCGTTTCCTTTCCACACAGTCAACTAGCACATCATGATATGAAAATTAACCTTCTTTAATTGATTTTAAGCTGTGTTTAGATTTCAGAAGGGATTAATAGAAACTTTTATTGTAGCACGACGATGATGAACAGTGTTTGGCCGGCAAAGACTTAGAATTAGAGTTATTTATTAAATCAAACGATATGCAAATAGTTTGTTTAACAGAACATTGGCTGCAACTTAGTGAGAAGTCGTTTTATTTTAATAATTTTCATATGCAAAGTGGATCATTGATATTATTTAGTGATAATGTAAAATCTAAGGAATGGCAACATGTCGTAGAATTAACAGTAGAACGACATATTGAACTTCTTGTGTAGAATTTAGTAATTTAATTATAGTATGTGTATACCCACCCCCATTATAGTGTTTTTCAATTGGTATGGAGGGTGTTCTTAAAAAGCTACACTCAAAAAACAAATTTTTGGATGTATGTGATTTTAACATAGATCTTCTCAAACCCAGTACAACATTCGATCGTTAACTCTCTTTGTTCAAATGTTTTAATTTAAGAAAACAATTTCATGAACCAACAAGAGTGACTGCGAATTCAGCATTTTAGTAAAGTCATTCCTCTTTTTAAAGCTGGTAATAAACAGAATCCTAGTAATTTTATTTTATTTTTGCAGGTTATTTTATTTTTGGCATGAATAAAGAATTATTATTATTATTAATTATAGACTCATTTCAATTCTACCGACACTAAGCAAGATTTTTGTAAAACTTATTCTGGAACAACTAATATCCTACTTTAATTCCAACGAACTTTTGCATACTAAGCAATACGGTTTTACCAAGGGTCGTTCGACAACATATGTTGCGCTACTAAAGAATATATTTAAACCATGGGAGGGATCGCAAAACGCTCTTGGAGTTCTTTGCGATCTGTCCAGAGCCATCGATTGTGTTGAGCATCAGACACTATCGCCTAAACTGAATTACTACGGTATTAAAGGTGCTGCTCAAAAACTGATGCTGTCGTATCTTAGTTCTAAGTCGTCGGGGTCTCATGTAAAAATAGGCGTTCCCCAAGGTTCTATCTTAAGCCCATTTGTATTCTTCATATATTTAAATGAGTAGTGGCCGCCAGCGACTTCGTCCGCGTTTTCCGTTATTTCTTCGCTCCTAATAGTTGCAGCGTGATGTTATACGAACACAACCAGAATTTTACAATTCGAACCAGTAGTTCCTGAGATTAGCGCTTTCAAACAAACAAACAAACAAACTCTTCAGCTTTATAATATTAGTATAGATTAATCATTTTTGTTAAAAACTTATATGAGATCGTGTTGTTTGCAGATGACACTTCATTGATATTTAACATAGACAGAAATAAATATAATTTTGACGATGTTAACAATGCCCTCTCACGAGTGTTATCTTGGTTCACAGTTAAAATTTTTGGGTATAACACTCGTTTCAAAACTGCAATGGAACCCGCAGATTTCTATATTAACGATTTAGAAACCAAATTACCGATATAGAAACTGCCCGGACAGTGTACTTTAGTTATTTTCACTGTATCATATCCTGTTGCATTATATTGTGGGGAACGGCAGCCGATATTCAGTTTATATTTGTTTTACAAAAAAGAGCTATCTATCAGTTGTGCTCGAGAAAATCTCTTAGAGAAATTTAAAGAAATTGGAATATTTACGGTTGCATCTCAATTTATATATATGTAGTTGTATACTTTTTGTCCGGAACAATATTAATGTTTATACCAAGCAAAGTGATGTACAAAAACTTAACACTAGAAATAAAAACAAGCTATAATGCCTTCTTACAGGTTATAGAAGCTATTAGATTCTTTCATGGGTCAAGGTATACAGACTTTAACAAGACCCCAGTGATGTATTAGATTTGCCAATAAATCATTTTAAAAGTCGTTTTAAAATTGACTGCAAAGTAAAGGATATTATACCGTTAAAGAATACCTAAATGACAAAAAGGCATGGTGTTAGATATTTTAACTTTATGTGATTAACATTGTACCTATGTACAATGAATGATTGTACATAGGTACAATATTGTATTAGAATTAGCTTCCTTAATTCACTGCATAAGTTAAGTACCTAGAGTAGTCACGCTCTCTTAAAAATCTCTGTAGTGGTGTCGTGTGTGTCGGGTCGTTACGTTCCCTAAAATATGGTTGAGCGAAGCGATGGCTGGCTCATGCGCCATGCTCGTGAACGGATGCTGCCAGTGGGGATGAGTCTGCTCTAGACTACTTAAATTCGCCCATTTTCTTTTATAATGAATATTGTATATTGATTTGTTAATGAGTATGTATGAATCGACATATTAATCACTGATTGAAAATATCTCTGTTATTTCTGATATTGTAATGGAAATTGACTTCATATTCTAGTGAAGTCACTTTTCAATAAGACTTCTCTGTATGAAAAAAAAACAGGGAGATAAAAGGCAGACATTGCTGAGTTTCTTGCCGGTTCTTTTCAGTACAAAGTCTCCCGCCGTAGTTTTGCGAACCGATGGCAAAACTACGGTAATAGTTTTCGACTTTCACAAGGGCTATGTAAAACCGTTAACTGAATAAACAATTTTGATTTTGATTTGATGATGTATCAAAGAGAAAATAAATGGTTAATTTAAAATTACTTCATTTCTGAGCTTGTTATGCAACTCTACTTCGATTACTATGTTATTTCACTTTGCCAATTTAATGCAAATATTGTTTGGATAGATTCTAGTGTTGAAAACATCTGCTGATCGAACCATAAGTTGAGTATGTTCATATAATAGAACTGTGGTTAATTTGATTTTCTTACAAAAACGGATCTACACACACAAAGAAATTCCATCAAAGCAGAATCGGTTCACTAATGAATGTTCACTAAAGAAGAGTAAATTTCTAGCAATATTCTGTTAATGGACAAAAATATTTGTTCTAATTAAATTGATTAATAATGACACTAGTGACGTCCGCAAAATTTCGGTATTTATAGAAACCAGATACACGAAAATGGCTTTTAAAATAAGTTAATTGATTTTCAAATAGTATCATAGTGAGTGCATACAGTGATAGCGTAATGTGGGGAATTACAGTGTTATTAAGGTATTTGTTTTATTATCTGTAAGTAAAAGCCAAAGACTGCAATTTTAGTTAAAAAACGCGTACATACTAATTCATATAGAAATTATATGAAAGTCTATATATCCGTATCTTTTTGTTAAGAAAAAAAATATATATATTCTTAATGAATGCAAAATTTATCATTGACAAAAAAAGTTATTACAAGTTTTGCTAACTTTCAAATTTTCGAGGAATTAAAATTTGAAAATTTGAAAGCTCTCATTTAATTCGAAAAGTGTACATTAAATAAATAAAAAAACATTTGAAAGCTCTCGTTTCATTAGAAATGTTTTCGTATTAAAAATCTGAGAATAACTCAACAGGACGCAAGTTATGGCAATTACAAAGTTCCGTGCGTGATAATGGCCTGACGTCACTAAAAATCCCCATGCCTTATAATATTAAAGCCCAGCTGTATACATCATACATTTTCTTTCTTATATACTGTTCTTCAAAGTTAATACAGTCATTGCCGTAGTTAAAAAAATGGTAAAGATTGAGACGAAGTTGGATACCAAAGCTTCCGTATAATATTTATTATTTATTATCTTATCTTACTATAATTATAAAGGCAAAATTTTGTAAGTTGGATAATTGTAACTTCTTCACGCAAAAAATCCGGTAATTTTAAACCTAGATTAATATATAGGCTACCTTTTATACCACTAAGTAGTATCTAAGGAACCCTAGGGACCACGCGTGCCACCCCGTTGGCGAAAAAGGTACTTTACTATATAAAAAAATATTGTTTGCCAAAATTGACGGTTTTAATTTTGATTTATATTAACAATTACGATTTAAATGAAAATGCATTTTCCAGTTTAATGTGTTACGCCACCCCGATCTTCAGCCAGCAAGGCTCTATATCAGAGGCATTAGCGGGTTTCCTCCGTGACACCTCGGAACTGCTGGACGGAGAACCGCCAGATGCAACCCACCTTCTGCCGGAGTACGACTTCATCATCATCGGAGCTGGAACAGCCGGTTGTGTTCTCAGCAATCGACTAACAGAAGTTGAACAGTTCAAGGTAGGTTCAGCAGTTCCAAACAAGCTAGTAAAGTAAGTCCCAAAGATATGGCATGATGAAGTTAAGTCCGATAATAATCAACGTACGATTAAAATATATACTAAGGCTTGTTTTGCGGTGGAAAATACTACGCATTAAGTGTGTCACTCACACTCAGTGGGTGTCAGGCTTGTGGATATTACTAGATCACTCGATGATGTTACAGTTGGATGAATCATTCTGATTGGCGTCATTTGATCGAAATGCAGATCTTTGTAAGTACATCACTGAGCTTCATCAGTTGGTTCTTTCTTTACCTTAGTTTGATCAGTATAATTGATAATGTGTACTAAAAGGCACGTCTAGACAGAGCCGGTAACGAACCCAATTTGCAACACACTAGCTTAGGATTAGGGCATACCATTCAGGAAATTACTCATTTCACTACGCGTAAACGTTCGTTCATCCCCTCAGCTTCAACAAAAATTGATACAGCAATACATCAAACACAAGACTGATGAGAACATCCTTATGTATTACCAATATTATAATATCTTTGGTATTTACATTACAATATAAAGGTCTGTGTTATACTAAGTAATGTAATATTAAGGCAACAGTTTAAGAATTCACCCCTATAATATTTTCGAACAAACAAATAACAGACCATGTATAACAGAACTTCCTTGCTTTCCAATAAATAAGTCACACACTGATCGGACTGAGAAAAAAAATGAATATTAAAAAAAAAACCGGACATGAATGATACAAAACGAGTGAACGTCATAATACTATATGATTATCAACTTTGGAATTCACGCATCCGTGTGAACTAAGAAACACATGCGCTGAAATGCAAATATGCATTTTAAGGTTAAGCACTTTTAAAGGCTCAGTAGCACGGCATTGTCTCTAATTTTGATTACTACTACTGCCAATGCCCTAATCAGTAACCACGCATCGTTTGCGAGGAGTAAGCTCCGCACACCGCGAGTTGCAAACTATTGCTATCGGTGATGATGCGCCTGGTGTGTTACTCGCCTTCATCGGCGATCTGTAAGCATGCAGCTAAGTCAAACCCAAAAAACTTTTTAAGACTGCTCTTAAATGTATTAAAAATATTTTAAATCTACCCTACGTTTTCCCTATCCATTCTGGACGTCTTTTGGATTATAAGAACGAGCGAAGGAAACTCACCAGCTTTAACAAAAATAATAATTTTTAAAATGTCATAACCTGATAAATGTAGTGGACTTGGAGCAATTATTCGCATAGAGCTCCAATCTGACGAAATATCTTTCAAATGGGTCTCGAAAGTATACGTTAACATGAGACTAGCATTAGTTACATTGTCATCAGCCTATTAATGTCCCCATTGCTGGGACACAGATATAACCCTAGGGATGGGATCGAATCGGTTAGGGTGAACGTGCCATGATCCACCACGCTGGCCCAGTGCGAATTGGTTGGGTTAACGTGCTCACCGAAACACGGAGGAGCTTGAAGATGATCATTTTTTTGGTCAACTATCCTATAATTAAGTAGCTCGGTGGTGTAGTGGATGAGCGCCGCGGCCCGCGGTCGTTGTTGCTACGCAATTTTCGCAAGGAACGGTCACAGGATGGGTGTGTAAACATTATTATCTCGAACAACTCCGTGCTTCAGAAGCCGTTGCCGTTGGTTCTGGCTTCATGCACAGTCTTTTTTTATTGCCATCTTCCCCAATCTGTTTCAGACTTTTAATTTTCTAATTTTTATTTCTTCTTTTCATTGGTGTATTATTACACCGTAGTCGGTGGGATCTTTTGTTTTACCCCTAGTCAATCCTTTATAATATATCTTAACCTACTACATTTTTTTTCTACTTTGATATTTATATTTCCTTACTTATTCTATTTTTCTAACCATCCTATCCCCCTTTGTTTCTTCTCTGTCACGTTATTTAATTATTGTCCATTGTCTATATATTTCTTTCCATGTTTGCTCTGCTTATAGACTATTTTTACATAACATACAAGTTGCATTTAATAAATTATTGTAATTCTTTATAATTATTGTCATTACATTTTAATAAATTCCACCACTTAATTTCAATTTCATTTCAGTTTCTTTATGTATCTTAATTTAATCATACACCATTTCTGTCTCCGTTATTCGATATTTCCTATTCCATACATTTTGATTCGTTTTATATGTATTTTGATATCAGTATACAATTACATTTTCATTTCAATTACAATTTCATTACTAATTTTCCTTATATTTATTCCATTACATTACATTAATTTTATACATTGATTATTAATTACCATTCTTCATATAATTAATCCATTTTCGTAATTATTATTACACAATCATTTTATTCTACATTAGATTAATATCATACATTGTCACCTTTGCAATCGATGTATCTTAAATTAATTGTTATTATACATTACATTATTGCATTTGTCATTTTGCAAGCACAGTCGTTGTAACCCTCCAATACTCCCTAACCATCCATAATGAAGACCTGAGCCCCTGCAGTGGGCTCGTAAAAGGACTGATGATAATGATGATGATGATGATCCTATGATCGACCCTTGCAACAGACGTATAATAACCGTATACTTTTGAAATAGCAGTATACTCTAGAATAATAACAAAAAATGCGTTTACAGGTTCTCCTCCTCGAAGCCGGGGGCAGCGAGCAGTTTTACATGGACATACCGGTGTTAGCAACCCTTCTACAGTTCACAGATGCCAACTGGAACTATTTCACGGAACCACAGGTAAGTCGACTTTTTTTATCATCATCAGCATATGACCATTGCTGGACCCTTTCCTATAAATAGAATAGCATAGAGGTCCATAACCAATTTTAAAGGCCAACAATTTTGTCGTGCCTGTGTTGTATTTTAGATTCGCGTGAAATAGAAAAATATTTTAGGCGAAGAAATCATATAACACAAAGTTCGATTTTGAGTGTCCTAATTGGTCACGTATCATTGAGTAACAGTTGTTACTTTTAGCGGTGGATAAATCAGAGCATTGCGTAAAGATCAGTTAGCGATTTATTAGACTATCAAAACAATAATTTTCATCGAAGATACAATCGTATCATTTCTTTGTACAATCGTCGTTGTAACCTCGCCTAACCTCGGGAGCAAAAATACGTCGTTATAATTATAATGCATCATTTTAGTCCCTCGCATAAGCACGTCAACAGTGTCACAAAGGTTCTATACATTTTTTATTTCGATAGCTATAACTGTGCTTACACTTTTAGAAATATTATATAATTTACGCCTTACTTATCGAAGTCAATAAACATTTTCGCTACGTTACAGAAAATCTCAGCCACTATTCCATTTGTGAATAAGTAATAATGGAAACACAATACATCGTAGCGTAATACAATAAATTCCATATTAAAATTATGTTTACGTTAATGCAACTTACTTATGAACTCGTACTCAACAACCTGCTAATAGCGAATATTATGAAAGCCTTGTCGTGTACGTGACAAATGGCCGAAATCGATACAATAGGTTTACATACGTGATGACCATTATATTATCAACTGATTTGTCGAGTTAAATGACAATGAATATATAACTTTTGACCTTATACTCTTTCCTGTCTGATGTGGTCATTCATAAACACGTATCGACACACACAGTCGAATAATTCGAGAAATGCTTTGTCTATGTCAAATGTCACTTTTCTCCGGTCGAGGGAAGGTCGAGGGTGAGATATAGTACAGGCGTAGCGAAGTTATATATAAAGATATCCAAACTTATTGGGCACACCCTAGAAAAGTGACATTTGGGTGTAGAAATATAAAATCGGTGACCCAAAGGTGATTGGTGGGTCAGAAATATATAAATTTTAATAAATTAATTTTTAAACATGGGTGCTTCTTTTCGAGGGTAAATTGAGAAAAAAAAGTTTCGGAAATCGTATCAAATTAAAGGGACTATTTTATGAATTCTACCAAAAAAATCCATTCCACTCGCGTGAATCGTTGAAACTACTCAGTGGGAAATTCCTTGAGTATGCCTCCATTAGAAGTAATTAATGGAAAATTTTAACTACGCGAAATAGACCTACGTGCGAGAATCTTTTACGTTAAAAACGTTAGGACTGGTCAAAATAGAAAACGAAACGAAATCAACCTATCAACTCTATTTTCTTTTTTTTTATTATAAAGAAAAGGATAAAGAGGCTTGATGCCGCAGTATTAACAACGCATTCAGATTACGTTGCGGACATTAAGTATGTTTCGTAAGGGCCAATCATGGGATGAGTAACCAAAAGTGTAATATATCGAGTTTCTATGTGCTTCGGAAAGCATATCAAACTGGTGGTCACGGCTTATCTGAAATTATTGGCCTGCGCTACGGGACATTAAAATACTAATAATAATTCAAACGTTAACATTTTTAGGGATTGAATTCTAATATCTAAGACTATCACCACAATGACTCAAACTAATCAATCAACAAGTATTGTTAAAAATCATCACGAATAATATAATTGTATTGGTTTATTTAATAACAGGCTCAATGAACTAACTGTTGAAACCAGTTTCATAACGAATTCTGAATAAAACCGGTATTAGTTAAAAATATAAAAATTTGCGTGTCTAAAATAACAAATTGATGCGATTGAAATTGACACCCAATATACAGTACACCTAATTATACATTATATTTATATATATATATTACGAATTTGATTGAGCTATTTTTATTAGTGTTAATAATAAAGATATCGTCGCTTGAGTAACCGTAAAAATTCTATTTCGGAAACATTTCAATACATCAATAAAAGAAAATCTCGTTTGAAATGCCTTCCGTATAGCAAAAACGTATTATTTTATACTACTTGACATAGTTAAGTGGTCTTGGCTTGAATTATCAATTTTTATTTAATAAATGTATTTTTTTTTCAAGAATCCCATTTCTCGAAAAATTGTTATTATAAAATAAAAAAGGCATCTCAAAACTTCTGTTTGTCCATTAAATTTTAATTTGAGATAAAAAATTAACTTGCAGTTAAACATTTTCCTCAAGTTTTACGTGAGAAGCATTCTTTAAAAAATAAAGAATAATAATAACTTTGATTAATACAATTAAGCATTCACAATTCTATTCTAGAAAAATTTCTTATTAAAAAATGCTTAAAAATATCCACTTTGTCCCTGGTACTTCATTCATAAAATGAATTATTTTTTCATTAATAATAATAAAACCTTTTCTCCTCAATGAAAATTAGATCTTAATTTAGTCCCTTTTTTGCAATTAATTTCCACAATGTAACATTTTTTATTTGTATATGGGTCACTCGAGTGAAACTATTGTACTCAATCAAAGAATCAATATCAGTTTACACTTTGGCTTAATAATATTTCTTTAAAGGAATGCGGTCCTTCAACGCCCTTTACCGATCGACCTTGAAACCAAAGAAAGGAATATGTCACATACATAATCAACATAAGGTTTTTTACCTTTGGATCTTCGCAATCGCTTTCATGTGAACTAGTCACTAGTCTGTTTTACAAACACGCCATTTGAATAATAAAATTGTTTATCTGTGATATACGATTAATAATTTTCATATATACAACAGCAATACCAACAGAACTATTCTGCTGATTATGTTTTCAATCAAATAAAATCTACATAAAAAAGTAATAGATATTCCGAAATCTACTAAACATTAAATAGCATAATGCATGTGTCAACCGCATAAGCGCCAGTGCAGTTTTAAAATTTACGATAAAACAAGAACGTGGTTCGTTCTTCGTCGTGCCATGAATATGAAGTGCTCAAGGAAAACATTGGCATTGAATTTGATCGAAATATACTAATCATTCGTAGGATGCAGTCCTTTTACCAAGAATACAAACGCCTAGCTTAACATTGACTCGTATTAGTCATTCACCGTATAAATTTGTCTGTCTCAGAATAATTAAATAATGGCGAAAATAATATAATATAATATACCATTTTTAAAGATTATTAAAACTTTATTTAATATAGCTTTCATGATTGATATTATTCGAAGTCACTTAAGCAGAAAATCGTCAAATGACTTGCCACAAGCACGGAGAAGTACTGAGAACGATTTAATTGTATCTAACGTTGCAACCGTTTAATTAACTGGCTCATTAAATCTCTGGCTGCAACATACGTTTCACCTTCAACAATTACCTCAATGATTAATAATCAAGGCAAAATCACATTGAAAAGGACAAAGAACTATCTTATACGCTAGCACTTCCTCGGCTATATTTGTGATGGAATTTGACCTATAATCTAACCGAATAATAATTTCGTTACTGTCATTAGCAGTAGCAGCACATCCTATAATTATGGTCATACAAAAAAGTGTTTAATGATTATTAGTTTTTATTGCAGTTTTTACATATTTAAGTTCAAGGTTACAAAAAGCTGTAACGTCACGTTATCCATTTTTGTTGTGGTATGTTACAGAAAGGGGGATGTAGAGGCATGCGAGCCGGACGCTGCGCGTGGCCTAGAGGGAAGGTCATTGGAGGTTCATCTGTACTTCACTCCATGATGCATACGAGAGGAAACCGCAAGGACTACGACAGATGGGCTGCTAACGGAAATCCAGGTGACATGAAATTATTCAGATAAAAAGGGTAACCCAACCCTAAGTACAGCTAACATAATACTAGCTAATCATAAGGTAGACAAGAAGTATGATGAAATAGATTTTCTAATACGCTTTTCATTAACCGACTTCAAAACGGAAAAGGTGGATGTTATATATTCGACGATGATGTATTTTTTTATGTATGTTCACCGATAGATCTATTTTCAAAACCCTTTTTTGGTTCGACAGCTTGATGGTACGAAGCGGCCCCATTTAATTTTATCGAAATCGAATAAGTAGTTTTTCTTTTATAAAAAAAATGCGCTTTTCAACAGATATCACCTAAATATTAAGATGTTGTGACATAGCCCATTTCAGCTTAAAAACAAAAGATTGAGTGTTTAAGATTCATTCAAAATCTGAATGGAAGATTTTCTATGTTCATCGAGTATGTACATTAATACTTTACTCTTTAATGTATATTTTTATGAAGGATAGTTTGTATCAATGAGTAAAGTATATTTATAGGGGTAGGTATGTTTATCGATTTCTTCTTGAATTGTGAACCAATTTCTATCTATCTAGCTGTTTCCCCGCACCTTCGCCTGCGTTAATTATAGCCTATGTCTGTCGCGTATTACGTAGCTTCCCGAAAATGAAACATTTATAAATCGGTCCAATACTTTCGGGGCCTTTCCAATGCAAGTAAACAAGCAATCAAATTTTTTCTCTTTAAAATACGATCGAAAAAATAAAATCTCCTATTCTAAGACTTTCACTATGTTACTTTCAATATACGATATTAAATATTTTTAATTACATAGATAACTAGCTTTTGCCCGCGACTTCGACCATAGTAAAGTTACTTTGAGCAGCATTTCTAACGAATATTTATTTATTCGTTCCATTTAGGTTTCAAACTAATACATTTACATCTTCCATCATCCCTTATTTTATCCCCATGGGGGTTGAATTTATCAAAATCCTATTTAAGCGGACGTCCGCTTCATCATAATAGCTCCAATCTTTCAGTTCAATCAGTCGAAAATCTAAGAAGATTTATACAAAATTTCATTCCCTATTTCATCAATTTAGGGGTGGAATTTATAAAAATCCTTTCTTAGAGGACGCCTACGCCATAGTAGCTTTATGCATGCAAAGTCTCGGCCCGATCGGTTTAAAATTGACAAAGTTTCATACAAATTTTCATCCCCTATTTTATCCCCTTGGGGGTAGAATTCACCAAAATCCTTTCTTAGCTGATGCCTACGTCATAACATCTACCTGCATGCCAAATTTCGGCCCGATCCGTCCAGTGGTTTTTGCTGTGCGTAGATAGATCACTATGTCAGTCAGTCACCTTTGAGTTATATATATTTACATAAATATTTTAGTGTCACTTAATATATACATAATATCAATATCATTAAGAAGCATGAAATAAAAACTATGTATTTACATAAAATATTTATTACCCATTATATAAAAAAATATCAATCTAAAAGCATAAAGTATGTATTTTTTTAAAGTAGATCTGACATCAAACTTAAAAAATGATAAATAATACTTATCGCAAAAGTGACTTATTCAGGAAAATGCTATTGAAGTCGGGCGAAGGTTTTCTGTAGGTTATTAATTTTCTGTAGATTATTAAAGTTTTTATTTTATGTTTTTTAAAAACCTTTAATCGGGTGAATAATTATTATTTGTAAATTGAATCAAAAATCGATCTTCATATCTTTACAGTATGTCGTTGTCTCGTATACATGTGTATGTGCACACTCTCTATTATAACGAAAATATGGCATCATTAACGGATTTATAAAACTATATTGTTTACAGGTTGGAACTACCAATCGATTCTCAAATATTTCAAAAAATCAGAAAATATGCAGATACCTGAATTAGCAAGGGATAGACGTTACCATTCTACCAAGGGAGAAATGTCATTGACGTATCCTAACTGGAGGACACCACTGTCAGATGCTTTTTTGAAAGCTGGTGTAGAATTAGGAGGTAAAATTGTCGATTATAATGGAGAGAAACAGATAGGATATTCTATTATTCAATTCACAATGAACAATGGTTCGAGAATGAGCGCTAGTAAGGCATTCTTACATCCTTTGAAACATCGTACAAATCTACATATTGCAAAGAATGCGATGGTGACACGAATACTGATTGACCCGTGGACTAAGAGAGCACATGGAGTAGAATTTAATAAGAATGGTAAGAAATATGTGATATCAGCTAGAAGGGAAATTATTCTGTCTGCTGGCGCTATAAACTCTCCGCAACTGTTGATGATTAGTGGTATAGGTCCAAAAGAACATTTAAATGAGAAGAATATTACAACTATTGTAGATTTACCAGTGGGATTCAACTTACAAGATCACTGGGCTTTAGGAGGGCTCACTTTCGTTATTAATACTACTGATTCCATTAGATCTGAACGAATAGCAACATGGGATAATATCGTTGAATATTTCAGTCACCACACAGGGCCTTTGTCAGCGCCTAGTGGCACAGAAGCTCTCGCTTTCATCGATACAAAAAACCCTACAGATGATAACGGATACCCGGATCTTGAGTTACTGTTTGTGGGAGGCTCTTTAGTTTCACAGCCTACATACAAACAAGCTTTTGCAATTGACGAAAATATATTTGATCAAGTGTATGGCCCCATCAAAGACAAAGACACGTGGATGGTGTTTCCAATGCTTTTGTTACCTGAATCTAAAGGAAGAATATTACTGAAAAATAAAAATCCATATTCCAAACCGATTATATATGCAAATTACTTTTCTGATGGAGGCCATGATCAGGAAGTGATACTATATGGTATTAGAAAGGTAATAGAACTGTCTAAAACAAGGGCATTCCAGAAGTTCGGCAGCAAACTGCACGATGTACCTTTGCCCAATTGTGCGCATCATGTGTTCAATTCGGATGAATATTGGTACTGTGCTATGAGGACAATAACGAATACGATTTACCACCATTGCTGTACGAACAAAATGGGACCTAAAAATGACCCTGATGCCGTGGTGGACCCGCGTCTGAGGGTTTATGGTGTAAGAGGCTTACGTGTAGTTGATGCTAGTATAATGCCGCATGTTCCAGCTGCTCATACGAATGCTCCAACAATGATGGTAGCTGAAAAAGCAGCAGATATGATAAAGGAAGATTGGGGCATTTTAAGTCCATAAGTTGATAAGATCTTTTGTTTTGCACCCAGTAGCGTATAGCGTAGTAGCGTAGCGAAATATTCACTAACAGTGTTAATATTTTTGTATTTATATTACATATACATATGTACTGTCTCAATTTTAAATTTAGGATGTTATTTTGATATTCTCCAGGGAAAGTTATTTTTTTTAAGTATTGAACTATAATGTTCCCCATTATTAATCTAAATGACCTACAGTTACATTTAATCGGCTTCAAAAAGTCATCGAACCACACAGACATCGTCATAATATCATAATAAGTTATTTGAATTGCAAATCAATGAAATCTGGACCTAACAGTTTTATTTAATCAAAATTGTGGTTTGGGTTTATTCATCGAACATCGTCATTTTTATAATTCAAATACCCAAATGTGTGATTAAGGCAGCAAATCAATTGAAATCACCATAATGTAAAATAGCAACAAGAATTAAGAGAAGAAACTGTATACATTCAAATCTTATGTATGTATTACAGTTATTGGTCAGCGGAAGATCAACACTAAGCTGTGCCAGTATTTCCCATACATTGTTCAGCCATGGCCCGATAATTTTCACACTGCTCCTTTGTGACCCATTTAATACTTTTAAACCAAACCTTTAAAAAATTATTGCCATAGTGAAGAAAATACTACATACTTTGTTACCTATTTAGCCACTAAATTTTAGTGCGAATTGTTAAGCTGCTGTTTATTTTTTTTTACTAAAGAATGATACCTAAGGTCTCGTTTTCGTTGTACACAAGGCGGGAATGCTGCGATACACTACCGAACCGTTATGGGACAAATTATTTTCATTTCTATATTGCAAATATCATTTTTCTTGTTTTTATTATTTATTGTTATTCTTATTGTTGTATTTATTTTAAACGTTTGTGACTGAAATGCAGAGTATGTATAAATAACTTCATAAGTGTGTAGATAAGAAAGCTTTGTTTTATTTATAATTCCTGTAGTCTTCACAGTGAAAAGAAACTCAGGGCAATTCATATTTAACACCACTTAAATTCAGATGAAATTAACGACTTAACATAAACTCTGAAGCCTTCGAGAGCTCAAAATAATAATTGCAGAGTATGCCATAAAAATATCTTTTAACATTTTAGTGACACCTTTAACTATGTTACAATCATGTACATATTCTATTACAAAACACTATTTTGTATTCGAAACCTAAAAATTTACATCAAATATGACGCTTCGCCCGTGGCAATGCAGCCGCCCAGTGACCCACACAGACGTCACAACGACAGCTCCATTTCGTGTAATATCTTTATTCAAGGCCTGGTATAAGGGACCTAGTACAGTCGACAAGACATAAGATTAGCCACGATTCGATTTCAAACCTAAATATGTAAAATATTTTTAATGAAAAATGCTTAAAAAATCCACTTGGTTCCTGACACCCCGAGATGGGATTCGAACCCATGTCCTGTCGCATTATTTTTCAGCATAGCATTGTGAATGAGAAATTTATCAAATATAAAATCACTAAATATGTAAGTTAATAAGTAATGTAGGGAGAATGGGCTATAACTTACAACGCGGTCCCAGTGCGGATTAGTAGGTCTTAACGCCTGCAGAAAGCACGGAGCAGCTTGAAGTAATAAACTTGTAAGTAATGTATTAGAATCAGCATCCTTACATATGAAATTGGTGTTTGGTATGGAAGGAACAAAAAGTCGAATATTTTTTAATATAATATATTTATTTAATCAAAGTATAAACCATTGTTATCTATGCACTTTTGCCATCTCATAGGCAGTTCATTTATCTCCTTACTAAATACGTTATATTCGGACGGGAATCAATAAAATCTTTGAAGGCGATTTGCACTACTCCATAGGAGTTCAATTTTTTCCCTTGCAAGAAGTTATCCAAATTTCGAAAAAAATGGCAATTTGTTGGAGCAATGTCTGAGGAATACGGTGGATGTCTTAGACATTCCAATTGAAGCTCTTCTAATTTGCTAGCCGTCTGTTGTGCGGTCCAACGTTGTCGTGAAGTAGCAGTGGCGTAGAGCGATGACCAGCCACGGTTGTTTAACAGCTAGTTTTTACAGCATGGTTTGCAATTGCTGACAAAAAACATCTACCGTAATCGTCTGGCCAGATTTGAGAAAACTGTAATGAACGACACCAGCACTAGTCCACCAAACGGTTACAAGTAACTTTTTTGCGGTCAATTTTCGCCTGGGGCAGGATTTGGCTGGCATGCCAGGGTCCAACCATTGCGATGAGCGCTTCCGATTATCGTAGAGAATCCACTTTTCAGCGCAGGTAATGATTCGATTTAAAAACCCTTCATTATTGTGCTAGTTAAGTAATGTAATGCAGCAATCGAAGCGCGTTTGCCGGTTTGCTTCACTCAATTCGTGAGGTACCCACCTTTCAAGCTTTTTAATCTTTCCAATTTGCTTCAAGTGGATTAAAACAGTTTAATCACTAACACCGCAGCCTGCAGCTAACTCGGACGTGATTTGCGATAGACCCGCTTCCACAATAGCCTTCAATTTAACGAAACACAAATACATGTGTAAGTGGCTGTATAAATTTGAATTTGGAATTCCAATCCAAGGAGGAGAAATTTATGATTAAAGTGGCCAGTTTGACAAAACGCCAATTTCATATGTAATGAAATAATAATAAAAAAACTGTGTTTGCTGCTGTGTGAACTAAACAAGACGATAGACTGATCTTATGTGTGATTAAGAGAATTTTGCAGGGGTATGATTAATTGTTATATAGTATTCCTCGTTTATAATTGATCTTATAAATGTGTATTATAAGGACAATCAAAAAAGTAAGGAAGATAGTTGGACTTTCGTAGTAGTAAACATTAAAGAATAGAAAGATCAATGTAGAAAAGGGACTTTTCTATGTTGTTTCAGGTATGGGTGTTGTGTTACCTTCGTTATCTCAGATACTCATAATACGGTGGTTTTAGCTACTCAACTGTCTGAGCTATGTGTGTGATGTTGTTTAATATTAGTTTAATTAAAAACCTACAGACAACCTCCACCCGACTTCAATAGCATTTTTATAAATAAATCGCTTTTGTGATAAGTATTATTTATCATCTTTAAAAGTTTTGTCTTTTCTATTTTTTATTTTATTTTAAAATTATTAATCATTGTGAGCAAAAACAAGCATAACGATATTTACAGACAATAAAAAAGAAATCGTAGGAGAACCTCAATGGAAACAAACAATAGAAAGGATAAATATCGAATCGAAAACGCGCCTAAATAGGAAGTTATTTACGATGCCGCACCGCATCACGACCATGGGTTATGCCGTTATGAAAAATTCCCTTGGCCAATCAAACGTCATCAATCAAACTATATATTTTACCATTATATAAAATTAACAAAAATCAAACCTGAAGACAAAGGAAATAAACATTGCTATATTCTTCACCTAAATCTCCACACGCGATTCATACGCAACCTGTTAATGAAACAATTAACCTGATAATCCCTTTATACAAACAAAGCTTTGGTCATGCCAGTAAACTTGACTATTGCAAGTGTAAGGTCAATGTCAGGCTGTATCTTGCGAGTTGATATAATCTGTTGCTAGCGAGTGTAGGCAACAGTCCTGCTATAGGTTCGAATCCCCCCTCACTCGAATAGTTCAGTGCAGTGTTTTATGTGAGATCTGTGATATGCTTACCAATTGTTGTGATCGAAGATAACCGGGAACACAAGTGAGATGGTAAACATAAATTACTAAAATATTTATTTGAATATATTAAAAAAAATAAACAATGGCACAGGGATCCAATCTCGGGCACCTGGAACTGGTGAAATTTTATGCATTTTTCTTTGATTCATCTTATGCCATTGTAAATGCAAAATCTATGAAATATAATTAAAAAATAATACATCAGCCTAAAATAATAATAGGATATAGATAATAGTTAGCATTTTATAAATCAAATTGATAAGTAATTTAATATGCAATAAATAAATGCTTCACAATCTCAAAATATTCTATAATGACCTCTTTAGAAATTATTTTTACCCGTAGCCACATTTAGTTCTGGACCTCTTAGCTGTATCTTACACGAATAACATAGGCCTTAATAAAAAAATAAAAAAGCTAGGATTTTATATTTTTCAAGTGAGTGGTGGTAAATTTATTGATAGTTTCTGAACTGTGTCTATGAAAAATATATTAGAAAAAAAATATTTTCATTTTTTTTTGTAGATAAAATTGGTCCTCTTAAGAAATTTATCAAATGTTATAAATCTATAATAATATTAACAGTATAGGTGGAAAAATTACATAGTTTTCATTAAATAGGTTCCAAACTACTGGATTGTTTTTAAAAAAAACCTTTACCTACGGGTAACTACATCAGGACAGGCTATTTACGCGTGTGAAGTCGCGGGGAAAACAGTTTAATGAATATTTAATTCTAATCTTACAGAAAAGCTGTGTCACATAACTTGGAGAAAGTAATAGGCGGTTGTTAAAACTTATTTCGAGTAATAAAAAAATTAAAGACTCGTTAATTTATGTTCAAAGCTTTAAAGGGCTCAAAGTCAACTTTTGACATATTTTATTTTGTTATTGTTGAGTAATTTTAACAGAATAGTTTTATTCATATATTTATCATATTTATAGTTTAATCCCTTAATAGTGGTTATCATTTAATAATCTACAGAACATCTCCGCTTCAAGGACTTCTACGACCACGGCGGGCCTATTAGTTATCTAAGAAAAAAATAATTTTAAAAATTGGTCAACATTTGTCGAAAAAAATATTGAAGGTTTATTAAAAAAAAAACATATAACGTCCTCTGTTTCGATCTTGAAGTCAAGAAGAAAGGTTTAAATTCTATGAAAACCGAAATGCCGTTCATTAAATATTTTACATTTTTTTTAAAGAATTTTTTTTTTTAATAAAATTTAACTGCACTTAGAATTCATACCCAAAAAATTAGATTTGAAAACCTTTCCCTAGATGACTTTTC